GGGCACCGACCTCTGCTCCCTTTCCCCAAGCTTTTGTTCCTAACCCGCTCGTGGGCAAAACGCTCTGTGATAAAGGTTATTCTGCCTTTATTTCGGCACAGCATACAGCTGGGAAGGTATTTCTTTCTTCCGAGCGTGTTTACACATGTCCGTCTTCGTTAGAGCATCTAAAGAAACAGCAGAGCTACGAACCCGGTCGTTCTCTGCTTCTCTCGTTAACGTTAACGCTGCTGCAGCACTAAAACATTGCTGCCAGGTCAGGTCTCGTTAAGTTAGGTGCTGCAAGAGACATCACAAACCGCCGCTCCTGTTCCAGAACCTTATCAAGGCTCAGAAGTCAGGGGCATCGTTGTTCTTCCAGCCTCACTTCAAACTGTTGAAAAAGAACAATCTCTGCGCAAAAAAAAAAAAATCTGTTTATCTGGTAAATACGTGGGTGGTTATTGGCAATTTTTACCAGTGATCATCTTCAGGTTAATTATCTTAATAAGTCTCGATCATGTAGCGTTCAAGGCCTGAGAAAACGTCATCTGGCGGAGCACGGCTTGGTTGGGGGGGTGTTGGGAAAGGTGGTTAGCACCGTTACATTGGATTTCGCTGTGAAACCTGCTCCCCGGTGACACGGGTGATCCTGTGCAAGAAGAAACACCCGCATCCTGAGCTCAGGTAGTTGCTGGGGAGGGGAAAGAAATGTTTGGCTGTCAGAGCTTACTATTTTAGTCTCCCTAAAGCTCTGATCCCTGCATCCCCGCCTCTTTGGATTCATTTTGTACATACAGTTTAATGTTAATGGGGGAGTTTGGGGTAAAAGGGCCTTTTCCCAGTTTCCTCTCTGCTGTAGTTAATGCGAAGGGATCCTCGTGCATCCCCGTTCCTGCCGGGAACGATCCTGCTGCCGTCTGTAACCCCTCGACCCCTGCGGGGAGCAGGAGCGGCCCGTGGGCTCAGCATGGTCACAGGAAGGAGCAGCCGAGCCCTGGGCTGCACTAGCCAAGGACCGAGGAGAGTTCATCATCTGGCAGTGCCGACTGACCGCTCCGGGGTTTAGGAA